GGCCTCACAAGCTATTTACTCAAGCGGTCTTCAAAAGTCGGCTCGTGACCTCTGCCTTACAAACTCTCAAAAAAAAGGACAAAATAACCTCTTGAAAGCCACAGCATCATCACAACTGACATGGATAAAAAACTTGTTGGCAGACAGAGAATAAAGAGTAGGAATAAATAGATCTTTTTCCAAGTGGCAGCTAGTAACTAGTGGGAACTGTGGGGATCAGTGTTTGGACCCTAGCTATTCACAATAAACAGGGGATCTCCTATTTACATATGTCTGCTTATGAACACTCTTAGTTAGGAGCTCAATCTCAAACAGGCGTGCAATTTTAAAGATTCCACAAAGAAGCATTTCCTATACTCATTAACAGCTCCTTTATATGGTGTTCTGACTTGTGTATAAATCGACTCAGGAATGAACTCAGAATCAAATCTGTTCACAACCTATGGACTGCCTGTACTTTAATAATTTTTATGAGGGGGCTAAATATAATGTACCCAAGTATGCAGACAACACAAAGCTGGGTGGAAGGGCAAGTGAGGAGAATGCAGAGATACTTCAGTGTGATTTAAAGTAAGTTGAGTGACTAAGCAAATGCATGACAGAGGTAGCATAATGCGTATAAATGTGAAGTTATTTGGTAGAAGAGGACGAAGACAGACTAGTATCTGAATGATAATCAATTGGGAAAGGATGTAATGCAATGAAATCTAGGTGTCCTTATACGCTTGTCGCTGAAAGCAAGCATGAAGTTGCAGGATGCAGTCAAGAAGGCAAATGGCATGTTGGCCTTTAGTGAGAGGATTCCAATACAGGAGCAGGGATGTCTTGCTGCAATTTACACCGCCTTAGTGAAACCACTCCTGCAGTGTGCAGTTTTAGTCTCCTTAAATGAGGAAGGATGGTCTGCTATGAAATGAGTGCAAATAAGATTTACCAGACTGATTCCTGGGATGGCATGACCAATGCATGAAGAGAGCCAGGATTGGTTGGACTACGTTACTGGAATTTACAAGAACGGGGAGGTGGGGGAAGAGGAGGAGGAGGAGATATCTCAGAAACATTAAATTACAAACAGGATTAGACAGTGTAAACACAGGAAAGATTTCCCAGTGACTGGAAAATGCACATCTGGGGTCACAGTTTAAGGTGAGGTCAGTGGTGAACCGGTCAAATATTTTGTCATACAAATCAGTTGAGGCCAAAATATTCAATGTTTTCAAAGAGGAGTTCTTAGGGTTAAAAAGACATCAAAATTAAAGCGTATGGGACAAAAGCAGGAATGGGGTTTGGAGTTGGATGATTAGCCATGATCAGCCATGATCATAGCAATCGAGCAGGCTCAAAAGGATCCAATGGCCTTCTCATGCTCCTATTTTCGAAGTTTCTAACTCAAACAGCTTTCTTAAACTTTCAATATCTGTGAGCTATATTGGTATAAGCCCACACATTTACAATAATCCTTGTGATAAAAGTGCTCTTTACAAAGAACAAACAATCATTCAAGAGTACTTTTTAAATGTCAGGATGCTCCAAGGGGTTTCAAGCCAATGAAGTCCTCTAAGTATTATAAAAAAAACTGAAGATCTGCAGATGCTGCAAATCAGAACCAAAAACAGAAACTGTTGGTAAAACTCAGCAGGTCTGCAGAGAATGCAGAGTTAACATTTTTTGATCCTGTGGTCCTTCTACTGGCCCCGAAACATTAATGGCTTTCTCCTTGCAAACGTTGCCAGGCCTGCTGAGTTCTCCCAGCAATTTTGGTCTTGTTACGTTGTAAATATCATCACTATCATTATGCAGGGAAATGTGGCAAGTGATTTGAATCTAGTGAAGCTGCAGAAATAGAAACTATCAGAAATAATCAGCCTGCATTTTGGGACACCGGCTAAGGGACCAAATGCCAGTCAGGATACTGGAAGAAATTTCCTACCTCTTCTTTTATGCCCCGGAAGGTTCTACGTGCACCCAAGAGAGAAGTCAGCATCTTAATTCAATGTCTCTTGCAAATGTCAACTCTTACAACAATTAAGCGCTCTCAGTGTGAGTATTAAACTTGTTATCAGTGAACAAAGGCTGACACATGTATAATTCGGCTGCAATTTCAGCATGAATGCAATACAGGACCAAAATCTACACCTTAAAAATCCAGTATCTAACGAGAATTTGGCAAACAAAACTAAAGCTGAAACAAAGTCTAAGATGCCATGCTTAACATATAATGGATATTGAGGAACAGACAACGCTAAAACTAAGAAATCAATGACAAGGAGTTTTATGGAGTACAGCTATTTGAAGTAAAACTCTCAAGAACATGGACTTCAAATCTTTTTAAATACTAATACCTTTTGGAATATAACAACTAGTTCAGTTTAAATATTGTCACTGCTGACAATTCCAAAAAAGCGTCGCTTGCTGCTTTTTGCCAAACTAAGTGAGTTTCTACCATTCGTTGTGATGCTGCACCATGAATTCCACTGTGGTTGCTCTTTCCCTAACTTTTTATAATACTTCATTCTTTGAGAATATTCTCTTCCTTGTTCTCAAACTTAGGTTTGCAAATTTTCCTCTATAACTGCCTCATAATCCTTTACTAACATTCACAATTTGCACACTGAGCTGTTATGATACTGAATGATGACACAGATGGCAGAAAACAAGTTCTGTGTCAAACTTGGATTCTGAGAATCAGGCAGTATCATTTCCAGTTCTAAACATGTGTAACTAACCACCCTCTTTATTCTCATTAATTGAGCCCATGTAACCTGAAGGATTATATTCAGGTGATCTTGGGTGATCTAGTTCAATATAGTGCAGATAATTTTGATGAGGCATTTCACATTTTTAATCGGGCAGACGGATGAAGCTGTATGCTACATAGTTGCAGTTCTGGTGCTATCCTGAAACATACAGAAGCTCATTGCCAATTTAGAATATCCACAAAATGCTTTTGCATGTTACAAGTTCCAGAAATCTCAAAAAACATTCTTGGTCACAAAACAAAGTAGAGACTCTCCAATCAAATGTTAATATGCACTGGTTCGGTGGTAGGGACTAAGAAAGCAACGCAGTCTTGGATTCTAACAGGCAAATTATTTGAACTGTTTTTCTAATTTAGAAACAAACTAACTTATGATGCCCAAAAGCGTTTCATGGTAAAATACGTGAAATGCAATTTTAAATATAGTTAGCTATTGCTATGTCAGGAAAGAGCAGGTCAGCGGCTAGGAGTACTGCGGCGAGTAACTCACCTCCTGACTCCCTAAACCCTGTCAATCATCTCTAAGGCACAAGTTGGGAGTATGATGGAATACTCCCCACTTGCCTGGATTGCGCAGATCCATCATCACTCAAGAAGCTTAACATCATCCAGGACAAAGCAGCCTACTTGATTGGTACAACATCTACAAGCATCCACTCCTTCCACCACCAATGCTCAATGGCAGCAGTGTGTACAATTTACAAGACACACTGCTTAAATTCACCAAAGATCCTCAGACAGCAGCTTCCAAACCCACAGCGACTTCGATGTAAAAGGATAAGGGCAGCAGATACAAGGGAACACCACCACCTAATTGTTCCCCTCCAAGCCATTCACCATCCTGACCTGCAAATAAATTGCCATTCCTTCAACGCTGCTGGGTCAAAATCCTGAAATTCCCTCCCTAAAAGTCACTGTGGGGCTATCTACAGCACATGGGCTGCTGCAGTTCAAGAAGGTAGCTCACCACTTCCTTTTCAAGGGCATGTAGGGACAGGCAATAAATGCTGGCCAGCTAGCCAAGCCCATGTTCCAACAAATGAATAAAAAACAGACCAAGCAATATGCCTACAGAAAGTCACACAAAAACACTGTTAATGCTAGCGAGAACATTTCCCTGACCAGATCATAATATTTATTACACCCAACCGAGGGGAAAGAAGTGTTAGTTGACCATCTTATCAAAAAATATGGCACTGCCAACAGGGAAGCACCCTCACAGTACTGCACTGAAGTATCAGCCTAGATTAAATAATTATTCTATCATTTTTTTGATTTGAGATGAGTGGCGGGATTAATAGCTCTATTCTTGAGCAGGAGGAGATAAAACCTACGAGCAACAGATAACTACAATAAAACTAAGCTCCAAGTTAATCAACATCTTGCAGAACTCATACTGTACTTTTTCCGAATGGTGGCCAATGACTAGTGAACTACCATGGGGGACCAGTGCTTGGACCCCAGTTATTCACAATGGATATTAATGATTTCGATGAGGGAACTAAATGCAACATCTCCAAGTTTCCAGACAACACAAAGCCAAGTGGAGGGTGAACTGCGAGGAGAATGCAGAGATACTTCAGTGTGAATGAGTGGGCAAATGCATGCAACATCAATTATAAGGTGGATAAATGTGAGGCTATCCCATTTGGGAGCAAAAACAGAAAGGGAGATTACCTGGATGTCAATCAATTGGGAAAGGAGGTGGTGTAATGAGACCTTGGTGCCCTT